AAAATATGTGATCTTATTTTAATTTATCGAACACGCTCCCACAAATTGGGATACGGCCTTTAGGTGCAGACGCCACATTACAGGTTTTCCTTATCATTAGAAGTTTGTCTTCCAATGGTGAAGAATGGTGAATTGCGCAACATCTTCATTCTTGCTCATTGCTGTGGGTGTGTCAACGCTTGTGAGCTAGTGAGTAGCTTGCTCCTGAGCAAACATTATGTAACCAGGACTTTCACTAACAATTTGTGTGACTTAGTGCCAAACAGTAAGTCACACTGCAATTGCAGGCCAGGGAAATTGTGGCAAGCCGGGAGAAAGGCCAACCAGATCCAGCACAGGGGGAGGATCACCAAGCTCAGGTTGGGGGAGGTGATAAAGGGAGTCTTCTATCCAGTTCAAGCGTTGCAGCCACGAGGCTCGTGGCATTGGTCACACTTGGAGCCCATCAAGTAATTAGAGCAGGCATATGTTCAACGAGCTTCGAAACAGCAGTGGCAGACAGGCTGGGGAGAAGACCAGGAGGACCTCCTGAACCACTGGAGACAAGCCGAAATGAACAGGAGGCAATTAAGAAGACTCATCTCTCTCTGCTCTACCCACACAAGACAGAGGAACTGCCTTCCCTTAGGAGTAGGCTGAAGGCCAAAGACCCCGAATGGGAGGAATCTTTAGTTTAGTTTGACCCCAACCTCTTTATTAAAGGACACTTTTTGTTTCGTACCAACTGCCTCTGAGTCTCATGTTTTATTCCGAATCTCTCCTTCACGTCCCCTGGGTTGCCGCTACATGCCAAAGAGGGACTGCGGAAACTATAGTAATGATGTTGAGGAGTGCAGGCAAATATTTTTCACATCTTGTGTCACCTGCAATCCAACACACATGAAAGAATTACAGTATTGGCCTTCCGGCAATAGGCCCAGGGGCCCAAAGTTTCAGAGGGCCCCTGGCCTTCACCTGTAAAAAACGAAAAAAAAAAAAAAAATTTATAATAATCAAAGAGGCCGACCTTGAATAGCTTCAAAATTACCACAAAGAGAAACAAAAAGATGCATATTGACGAAAAGATGCAAAACCACCACAAAGTTTGTGTGGCTTGCTACAACGTAGGGGAGGTGGTGGGGCCTTTTGCATGTCTGTGACTAGGAGCCCATTGTCTCGTACTCCACCTATGCCAGTACAATACATTGCAAAGCCATTCACCTGTGTCCAATAGAAAATGAATAGGGCGAAGGCAGCATTCAGTGGGTCTTCACTGTGAGAAAGACTGTGTAAAGAAAGCTCACATTTAGCAGAAAGGTGCAAAAAATGGCTTGATTTTAACGGTCACATTCTTATTAAACTCCCAATCATAATGAATTTCCTTGTCTCCGTCTTTTTTATTTTTATTGTAAAGCAGGTGTAAGTGCGTGTAAGTAAGTATATAAATACTGTTAAAGTATCGAAACACTCGATCCATGGAGAAATCCACACATCCTGTATTGACAAACTGGGCCTTTAAAACGAGCCGTCAGGATAACAACTTTACAACATATAGACAATTTGCAGTTTTAAACATTCCAAATGTGTCCCAGTTTATTTCCGGTAGTAGTTACATCAGCTGATTAGTAGTAATTAGCTGATTAATGTGCATGAAATATACAGTATATATACATGTGTATATATACTGTATGTTTCAGGCTATACTAAGTGGTAAATGCACTACAGTATATTTTCAGTGGTTAAAGGTGATGAGCAGTAAAGCGGTGCCCATTTAATGCCACAAGTTTGAAATCCCCTCTCCATTGGGAAGTCGAGGATAAATATCTTGGCTTTTACGTGTTCCACAATTCGCAGTTTTATCCATGAATGACGTGACGTTGGTTGCGGTGCAGAATGTGGCCCCAGCTTTGAATGAAAAACACATTTCCTCGAGCCTGCTCATAAGCAGGTAGACAAACACCAAATAAAAACCACAACCAAAGTAAACCAAGACAGGAGACTCTCCTTCGTGGGAACAAGAGAAGCCCGTGGTCGTAATAATGAAGCAGAAACTGCCATATCAACAGCTGCCTTTTGCTGCGGTTCTTTTATGTTGCTTTATATGTTTTATGAATTCATTTGATTCTGGAGGGAATGGAGCCAAAGGAGACTGTGCAGTTTAATTTGATGTGCTTAGACCGAGTTACCATGTGCATGCATGTACACTGTGTGTGTGTGTGTGTGTGTGTGTGTGTGTGTGTGTGTGTGTGTGTGTGTGTGTGTGTGATTCATTTGTGGTGAATAAAACCATCTGTTTCTATTGAACGGTGGCCAAGAACCCCATGCACCGGGGGGAATAGACGGCGAGTACAGAGTTACCTAACATCGCCTGACAATCCGCTGACCAGCACGCTGTGCTTTCCAATTGAGGTGACTATTGGTCAGATCTGATCTCACAACACCGGAAGAGACATTTATTTCTTCTGAGGAATCATCAGAAAATCAAGTAATGCAACCAAGTCGCCCTGAAATAAATATCATATTCAGGGACAACCAAGTATTTTCATTCAGAAAGGGATTTATGTTATGTGTGATACTCAGATACTTTGTCCTACTTTATGCCATAAAAAAACTCATGATTAACACAATTAATACATGACTACAATTACAGTTCTGTAGGAATGTATGTGTAATATCTCCCTGACGTTTTTTTACTACAAGTTTTCTTTTTTCTTAGGAGGTTCTGTAGGCAAAAGGTTGACTCCAATTTGGCTCTGATTTCATTCAATCACTCATGCTCTAATTTGTATTAATGTTATTTTGTATTAACCATATGTCAAGCCGAGGAATAAAGAAGACACAGCACCTTAACTGGCAAGTGCAGACAGTTTCAGTCCACAGTCATTTGAAAGACGTGAAAGAAATGACGAATGTTCTTTTCAGCGCAAATAAAAATAAACTAACACTCAACAGGGCTCGCATGAGTTCATTAATGTCCTTAACGGCAGGATGTTAATGTGCGTATTGCCATTCATCATAATAATGTGAAAAAACACATTCTGTACATCGTGTGCTGAGTTAATCAGATAGCAGTATGTGTGGTTCAACTTTGAAAGACAAACGTAGAGCTCAAGCAATCAGGCTGTGATTGCAAGTGTGATTTAAAAAAAAACACAGCTAATGACCGGATAATTATTATGCATAGAAAACTGGCCTCTACATGGAGGTTTTAAATCACTTTGCTTCTTTTATTTTTGAGTCCTCCTCCCTTCCCCTTTTGCCTATTTTCCAAACCATACTTAAAAGATAAGTGTGTTAGCAGAAGGTTTATCTTGTTTCTTTCAAAACTGGCATTTTTGAAAGTCTTTGCATGATGAAACAAAGCAGAAAATGCAATCTCACTGAACACACTGATCAGCAGTAACTCCAATAAGAAGTGCAGTCCAGTCACAGAGACTGTCTAATTATTTGTATGAAAGTGTCATTTTTTCAAATTAAAGTGCACGAAACAAAGCAGATCATGAGCAACACACAGCAAATCATCAACAACTTGATTGGCTGTGAAGTTGAAAACACATGCACAGAGCACTGGGTGCGCCTGGGATTACCACATCTTTCAGTTCTTCCTGACGCTGTCCTGGATCTTGTGGTTCCAAAAGCATTTTGCAAGTGGACCCTACTCCAAGTTTTGTATCATTTCACGTCACGTATTTGTTATTGCTATGACAACAGCTCATTGTTTTCTCATTTTTGCAAAGATCTTGTCCCAAAATATGGGAAGAAATAAATTGCACTGTGGGTCTGTGGCTGCTTGGAACGAGTAATTTTCAAATCGTCATTTTGCCGATGACACTCACATTTACATATCTGTATCATAAAATGAGCAACAGTGGGGGGAGCAGGGCCTACAATAAACATGGATAAAAGAAATGTTGGCGCCGAAGAGGAACGAACGTTGCTGCTCATCCTGACTCTCTGTCATTGAATCAAAATGGATTCTGATCTAACTTGAAATGGCTGTCAGACTCTGTCTTCATTTCTTAAAGAGTTGTAATAAGCTTTCCTTTGGTCTTATAAAAAAGGCTGACCGACAGGAGTCCTAACAAAGACCACATCACACCAATTGTCAAATATCTGCTTTGAATTCCAGAACTAATGACAAATTACTGCTCCTTTTTAAAACACTTGGTGGTTTGGGACCAAATTACATCTTGGATCATCTGCTGCGGCATCGACAGAGGCTGGCACTGGTCTGGTTGTTCCCAAAAATGAAATCCAAACATGGTGAAACTGCTTTAAGCTGCTCTGATGCACATACTTGGAACTTCGGGAGGTTTTTGACTTGTCTCGACCGTTATCATTTTTAAAATCAAAGGGGAGAATGCACCTGTTTTCTAATCAGTCAATTCTGGGACAATTCCATCTATGCTCCTATTTCATTCTTGTATTTTCTTGATGTTTTCTTTGTTTATCATTTCGTTTGCAATTTGATTCTCTTTTGTCATTTAGTCTTTGTTTTATTGTTAATACTTTAAGTAAAGCCCTTTGTGTTAGATGTGGCGTGTGCTTTGATTTTGAGGTAAAATTGTATTGTTGTCTTTATGACATATACTATTCATTTGTCATTGGTTAGTTTAGCCTATTTATTTATTTTTATTCAATATTAGACATATTATTCTCATTAACCTAATTTGTTTCAAACGACACAGCATCCAATAGCGCCCACTATCACCCAGCTCCCTATGACGTTGTGAAACTCAATTACGAAACGTGTTTCTTTCATGAAATTTGTACTTTGAAAATGTCAGCAGTATATATTTGGAGGTAATTTTGTGATGTAGGGGCTTTAACTGATTTCACCATTATTATTAATATTATTATCAATATTGTTGTTATTATTGTTATAATCATTTTTATTATGCTATACGTCATCACCACCAATGGGCAGTGCGGGTGTATACTCAGCCTCTTCTTTAAAGGCAGGAATGTAAATCCAGAGGGATTAGTGAGAACACACTGGGCTGTAAACCCTTCATTTGCTCTCCAAGGGGTCTCTGCCTCAGTGCGTAAAGTTGGGACGGGGCTCCGGACGCACCGCGCAGCACTTATTATCCCACTGGATCCATGTGCGTCACCTCTGCGGGATACTCGACGAGGATTTCTGATATTTTGATACCACTACCCGCGCGTCCCTGACAGATGAAAACATTGGGCATTTTGCTGATGTGAAGGCGCGTTTTCCCTGGAACAGATCATCTGTCCCGGTGCGCAGAGGGGACATGGGTCAACTTTATGGTGCGACTCTTTTACCATTTGGCGCTATCTGTGTTGTTTTCCTGTGGGAATCTGGTGCCAGCTCTATCAGGGCGACGCTTGCAGTCGACACCTCGAGGTAAGCCTCATGGACCTGATTAGAGGATCCTAAAAATATCTTGATCTTCTGTGAATGAACGACAGAGTGCTGATGAATCCTTGTCAACCTGATCCATAAAGTTAATCAGGCGTGTAATGGTTTACAAATGTCGGTTTTCCATCCTGACGCAAAACTCCGACAAACTTTTCAAATGGTATTAATTTGTACGTTTTTTTTCAACATGAACCACAACTACTGAATAACAGTTTACTGATGTGGTTTTAGAGATTAATGGGAGATTGAAGCTCCATAAACATCTTGGGAACAACCACATCACCCACGTTACTTGTTTGTTTCGACTTTTAATTTAAACTAACCAGTATACAAATACCTCCCTTGTCAGTTTAGCGCACAGTGCCAAAAGCCATAATAGAATTTAGTCTGTGTTTTATTGGTTTCTGCTCTTTACGAAATACTGTGAGAGCAGGCTGTCAAAGAGGAGACCCCTGGATGAACCGCTGCAGCGCGTCTAATCTAATGTGAGTTTCAGGGAAATGCAAGAAAAAAAGGGCAAAGGGAAACTCCAAATGGTTGGAATCGGTCGCGGTGCACGGAGCCAAATGTTACTTGTGCTAAGACAAAACATGACAGATGCTATTAAGATGCCCAGACACAGTGGGTCGGGGGGTGAGGAGAGGATGTGAGTGGAACACATGCAGCCGGTCTTTTGAGGAGGAGAGGAAACCACTTAGAAGAAAACTGCTGCTAATAACTGCAGATAATAAGACAGCAGCTTTATTTTATTTTATGTAGACCTTTGTACATTATGTCCACTTAGTCTAAAAGTAGAAAGGTAAAGTAAAAGTACAGTGTAAACTCATACTTTTATGCTGCAATCGATGGACCTCCCACTGTGGTAAATTGCTGCGTCAAAGCCTTTAAGACTGTTTACATTATTTAGCTGAGACTATGCCTATGTATGACGAGACTGTTATTTGCAATGCCCCTATCGGTAAAATTTGCATGTATAAAATCAGACAAGTAGCTTTGTTTAAATGTTGTTATTTTAGTTTGCATCTTGAAATTCACAGTGTATTTAGTGTCACTTTATTTCACTGTTTAGATGGGATGAGTGATTTATTCATTTGTGTTGTGTATGAGCATGAACAGATACACATTCCTGTAAAGTGTTTGATACTAATTCTAACCATATTTCCGCTGCAACCTCTAGATGGCATTAATTTCCAGTCTGATAATTTCTTCATTTATTTCAGTATTCATTTATACGTGTATTATCTTGTTTATTTCTGTATTTATTTCAGGATTTATCAATTTTTTTTCAAATTTATTTATACATTATTTATTCATACTGGAGTTATTTAACAATGGGTCCATGTGTACGTCCAGACTTGGAACCACGTAACTCCCCCTGTTTCATGAGTATAACCGCTGGACAACCATGTAAAAAGTGCCAGTGGATCACGTTCGTTTCCAATGTGTCTTTCTTTTCTCAGAACGGAGTGTCCAGATGATAAGATCGTGACCGTGGAGTATCCTTGTGTCAGAGCTGGGGGGAAGAACAGCACTTGTTTCAGGTAAGACTCCCAGCTGATGTTTCCACTGGTTCTAATAATCCTGACCCACTGAGCGAAACAGCAGGGAGTTACTATACAATATACATTTAAATTTCCGTCTTTCTCAGAACTGGGATTTTTACTCAAGGACACTTTGAGTGTTTGATCAGTGGCTGCTGATGCCTGTAGAGAGCATTGAACCAGTAACTTTTTTGGGGGCTGTGGAACGATTTCTGTAACCACTAAACCACCCGCTGTGTCATTTCCTGAACTCCACACAGTATATCCCTCTTTTGGAAACTCTATTACTTGGGAGAGAGAAAAAAAAAATGATTTCCTGAAGATCATCACTCAGAGACTGAATGATTATCTTAATTTGTCAACCAACCGCAGCGATCCTTTAAGAAGTCAAGATGTTTTTTTTAGTTTGGTTTTAGTTTGTTAGAATGCTACATTTTTGTGGAAAATAGAAGTGAATCATGTCATTTGAGAACATTTATTACTTTTACTTTACTTTACATGTAGTGCCGTTTTCCTCTGCTCTCCACTGACGTCCACCAGCCTGGCTCTGTGACAGTTAAGCAGAATCTGAACTTGAACTTCCTCAGCTTGGGTCCAGAGCTAAAACATTTAGGGAAGCCCCCTTCAGGGAGTTGGGCCTGCTGTATAACCTAAAAAGTATAAGTAGTGTGGCAGAAGAAGATGTGATTAGTTATTTTTATTGCACTGTATCCATATAGAGGAAGACAGGCACTATCGACGCATTATAGTGATTACCAAACACCTCATTTGGTTTCGCAATTGAATCTTCTGTGTTTTTGTAATTTAAAGGACGGCAAAAACAACAACCATGTAAGAGGGAAATACGGGTCAGTTTTTGAAAGGTATGAATTATTTCTTGAAGAAATTGGTTCTCTCGGTCTTTCTTTTTAAGAGGCTCCAGGGTTCCAATTTATGAAAATATCCTTTGATATCATATCGTATGAGCGTCCTAAAGCATAGGTCGAAGGAAATAAATCAATTCAATGCAGGCGCTGTGGCAGGTTGTAAGACTTTCAGCTCATGATACATCACACAGAACCAGGAGAAAGTCAATGTAAATCGCTCATTTTGACGTGTAGATAACTTTCCTCTGAAGCCAAACTTTGGCTTGGATTTGGTTGTTGGCGTAAGAAGATCCTTTAATAAATGAAGCACCGGGCCTGATGTGAGGCCAGACCATCTGATCTGTTTACTGTCAAGGTTAGACTTCGACAGGCTCTGTGTCTTGTTTTATTTCTGGCTCTAAGAGATGCGTGTTCTAATCAGGAGGCGGATTAGATGAGGTTGTGTTTTCCTTGCCATGTTTCTCGAGGCGGTTCAGCACAGACCTGGACCAAAATGATTTTGCAAATAACTTCGAGGGTCACCAGATTGATCCATAGTGTCTGTACACGAATATCACTTTCAATTTAATTTCAACAAGAGTAGTATGTTGTCCAGACGGGGCAGATGAAGCAGCCACTGCTTATTTTCATCTTTTTAGACAGACGGAGAGTTTAAGTTGTAGTTTGTCTGGATGGATGTTGTACTTCTTAACCGTTACGAAAGTAACAGAGATTTTCTCAGAGCCCACATGAGTCTGAAATGCCCTTATACTACTGCAGCACATGTTTTACCCGGAAAGCTGTTTTAGATCACAGAAAGTGTATTCAATCAAACAATCTTTTTTGGGGGGGGTATGACAGGTTGTATTTATTGTTTCATATTTCATAGTCATTTGACAGATTATTCAGTACTTTAACACTTCTGGATGTTTGCCATGTCAGAGTTTTTCAGTATTTCAGCAAGTTGGGTTTAACTGTCAGGAGTTGTGCGGTCACATTGCATTTATTAAACCATGTGACAGATTTAACCAACAGAATAGGCCTTGAGAAGTGTGGGCGCAGTGTCTGTTTTGTCTGCACTGGTCCCATGAGGACGATGAGTGACAGATGCAGTGTTAATAAATGAGTGAATGAAGGTTCTCACTTGATTTATTACCTCAGTAAACATTGTAAACATGAGTTTTTGGTCCTAATCTCTTGTCTCAAGTCTTCTTCAATAGAGCATGATGTTCATTTAGTAAATCATTATCCCATTGAGAGTAAATTTGACGATATAGCAGGGTATGCTTTAGGGCGTGACTACCTTGAGGCGTAGCAATGCGTATCCCTCCCCAGCCCCACCCACTCGTCCAAATATGGTCACTTCTGGCTCAAAAAAGCCAAGATGGTGACGGCAAACTCAAGGCTTCAAAATGGTAGTCGACGAACCAATAGGAGATGTCGCGGTGGCTCTGTCCACTTTTTATATACATAGAGGATATGCTATGCTATGCTAAGATAAACACACCGTTTAATCAATTTCTTAAAGTCAATTTCTTTGCTCTAGTGTTTTTGGTTTTGGAGAGGCGATAAAACCGCCCCACGAACTCTGCAACACATGTTAAGAAATCCTAAACTTGACAGGCCTGCCGTGCCTAGTTATGGTTGCTATGCTGTGAATGAACAATTGAGGTTTTTAAACTGTATGTGACCCAGACCTGGTCAGGCTAACAGTATAATCTCTTCCCACAGCTCTGCCGTGTTCAGACAGGCTGGACACTTTCCAATCATTTCTGGTTTGCTTCACTCTTATTTCTTCACCTGGCACCACTCTCTCATATTCAAATAATCTGGGAAAGGGAGTTATTCCTACACTTTTAAATTGAAGATGGCATGTTAACCATTTGGAAAAAGTCACACCTACCCGAAGAAAGCGGGCTGAGTTGCTATCAAAACAGTGAAGCAAATTATGGTACTTAATGGTACTTCAATTATGGTACCACTCAACATGAGGCAACGCGATTGAACAAAAAGTCTGACGGTGATATTTCAGAAACATTATAAACAAGTTCTTATGATGATTTATTGTTCTCAAAAGACATTTTTTCCAACCTGTGTCAGTGTGATTGTTTCTACTCTTCTGATCTTCCCGGTCTCATCATCGTCGTCTTCTTTGGATAGTAAGACTGTTTGCTACATGCCCAAACTATCAATGTAATGTCTCTGTCTCAGAGGGTTTTGCGGTGTTGTGCAGAAGTAAATCCTCAATGCTCTCACCCTCTAAACAAAGTCTCCGCCGGCCGCAGGTCTCTTTCTCCTCCGCTGTGGCTTTTTTTTTTTTACAGCAAACCAGCTCAGTTTCTACATTTCTATTGTTCCGGCCGCTTTGTGTTCTTATGCTGTCTTCCCCAGAGGTCGGATTTCAGCCGTGCCAATCCAAATATGCATGGTTCGTAGTACCCAGATCCTGAGTGATCCGAGCGTGTGAGCTTGCATGTTTGGGAGTCCGCGTGAATTGCATCTGTATTGTCTGTGCTGGCAGTTACAGACAGGTTTATGATGATGAGAGTTGATTTGCCGCTGCTTTCTGAGCTCTCTCTCTCTAAACACTCTCAGCTGTGGAGTCCAATCTGACAGGACCGACGGGCTCCACTAAACTGTTAACTGTTTTTTCAGTTGATTGGCATGTTGTTCTGGTTTACATACCCTGCATGGCTCACTATTGCAGCAGATAACACCCATGATATCACTCTACTTGCTCAGATTGAGAAAGGGATGATGAAAAAAGTCATGGTGACATGATTGCTTTTTATTGCTTCCATACTTTAAGCTTCTTTTGTAGTTACAATGATCCATCTCTCCCACTGGGATCATTATAGTTTTGTTTTGCATAGTACACTATAAGTTCATAAGCACTGATCATCTTCTGTTTCAGCAGCAGCATCTCACAGTGTATCTTAATAACTTCTTCATGTATTTTGAGGAGGGTAAAATTTTACTGATTCAATTTCACCAGAATTAAGTGTTTTTATAAGTAGGAAAAATGTCTGCAGCTAAAAAGTATTATTTACATCAAAACATCAGGTGTTCCAGCACCTGAACAAATCCCCGAACAGCATGGAAGTTGTAAGTGAAATTTCTATGGTGAAAAATTCCTCCAAATGTACATGTTTCACCTGTAATATTCAATTCAATTTATTTTTGTAAAGCCCAAAATCACAAATTACAAATTTGCCTCAGAGGGCTTTACAATATGTACACATTTGACATCCTCTTGTCCCAGGACCCTCACATCGGAACAGGAAAAACTCCCCCAAAAAACCCCTTTAACGGGGAGAAAAGAGGAAGAAACCTTAGGGAGAGCGACAGAGGAGAGATCCCTCTCCCAGGATGGACAGAAGTGCAATAGATGTCATGTGTAGAACAGGATAAGTGAATTACAACACATTCAATGTAATTACAGCACATTCAATATGTAATTACAGCACATTCAATAATAGTCCTGTAACTGAAAGTTGAGAAGATTTGCTGCTTTTATTTGTCTTAGATGATAGTAAACTGAACATCTTGGGGTTTTAGACTGATGGTAAGACAAAACAATTCATTTGAAATCCACACAAACTTCAGAAAATTTTATCAGGCTATTTTCACTCATCTTATAGATCAGAGATTAATCAATCAAGCTAATAAATTCAAAACAAATTAATCAAGGATGAAAAAAAACACAACTTGCATCCCTAAAATGATTCACAGGTGTGATGACGCTGTCTGTTTGGGCTCTACAGTATATGATCTGTGCAAATGTAAAAAGAAACACTTGCCGATCCAGAAGCTGACATCACTTTAGATGATGCTTGAGAGTGGTGGTCTCCGAACACATATAGTAACACTGTATCTGTTTCCTCGATTCCTCTTTCCTCGCATTTCTCAAGTGCATCTCCTCTTTCTCGCACCCTCTTAAGTGAGACAAGCAAGTGAAGACAGTTACTGAATTAGCAGCGCATGACCACATTCTCCCCACTTGTCCCATTTTACTTTCTTCCACAAACACATACCTACAGTACAGTTCGGAGCGTGTGGTCGGATGAAAACAGCGCGACTGTATTTAAGAGAGGGAGAGAGGAAGAAAAAGGAATGCTTACAATCAGTGTTTCTTGACTTTGCTTCCAGAAATAT